GGTTATTTTAAATATGCAGCTTCTCTAAAAGAGGAATATGTATCTCACTGCTGTCACAATCAGTTTTGTAACAATACCCTTTTTCTGTAAACATGTTTCAACAACCCAGACCACAGGAGTGACCACATACACATCCAGTAAGAAAAACCTGAAATTCACAGTTATTACATGTTGTTTTTATCCCAATGAGCAACAGAAAAAAAAAAAAAACACATTCCGAATCACATGCCATTAATGTCTGTCAGCAAACACACAACACACAGTTATGAACAACACTGAAAAGAAATGCACAAGAATAAATTGTCACTGGATTTGTTTGTCATTTACAGTCACCGATGAGTCCGCCTGGGCCGCTGATAGAGAAATGTTTTGAACTGTACTGACCGTTTGTTTCCCGGCAGTTCACGCCAACAGAAGTGATGAGGCTGACATTCCTTTGCTAACTCGGATCCTGGTTGTTGATACGACTTGATTCAGTTAAAAGAGAAGTGGTTTTGGTTAGCCAATATAAGGAGTGATGATCTGTGAGTGACCAGAGGTAACATGCTGACAGAAGTCAAGTGATGATCATGGTAAACAGCAGCATGGGGAAGTAAAACCAATATGGGGTTAACAAAGCCTACATCAGGACGGAAGTTTGAGTTTCATGTCGCGATAGTAACAATGACTATGTTCATTATGTTAAGGCTGTTAAGACAGCCGCTGTTTTGTCAAAATTACTATTTAGCTATTTTGGTTTAGCTCTGTCGGTTGCTTAAAATAAGTCCCTGTGCCAAATATCACTGGATTTTAAGACCAGATATACTTACTTTTAATTGTCTGCTCTTTTCATTTATTGTCTAATCACCTTTAGATGCATTCTATGTATGAAAGGCGCTATATGAAGTATAATTATTTATATAAGACATGTATAAATTTAGCCCATAGGAGAACAGCTCTGTGAACTGTAAACATGGTGAAGCAAAACCAAAATGATAGTATTTTATTCCTGTAATCACTTGGCTGTTGCCTCAGCACCAGGAGCATTACACCAAATTAAACATATCTGTGGGTGCAAAGTCAACCTCTGCACACATACTGTATATACTGTTTACCCACTCACTCATGGCAAATGTGGAGGAACAAGACAGAGCCCAGGTTCACCACTGAGTGACAGTAAACGATTCCAGTTTCAGTTTCATTCATGAAACTGCTACATAAACACTGTTGTTGGCAGTGCCAGGTGGAACAATCATGTCAGTCCCTGATGCCTTATTGATGTATGCTGTCAAAGGACATACAGGATATAATGTGTAGTCGTAAACATGTGCAAAAATGAATCACTCTACGATTGCCTCACGTGAGGTCATTATCATTCAGCCTGCCGTAACAAGGCCTCATTTCCTTTAATTACATGTTTATAGAGCATGTGCCTGTACATGCTTTAAATCTGTCACCCATTTGTTAAAATTTATTTATTTCAGTTGTATCTGATTTCACGCTGGCCTGTGAGTTAAATAAAGCACCGATCTTCAGCTTCTTCATTTGATGGCTGAGTCATTCATCTCCCCCTGGATCATGTCTCTCACAGCAGCTACCAGCGAGGGGAGGAGAGCACTGAGACTCTGACGGAGGCATATCAGGTTTTCAACCTTGCTTCCAGTGTAGATCTGAACAGCAGTTTCTGGGCAGGGCCTGTCTGAAACCCAATTCCAACACATCTTTATAAGCTTCATGAAGTCCCGCTGGACTCCATTCATTTCCTCATGTCACAACTAATTGCCCCACCAAGCTATTTTGCCCACACCATTTCTCCTCTTTATAAAATAGGTGATGCAGGGTGAACATCTTGTTTTTGGAAATGACCAAAAAAAAAATCCAAGAAGGAACAAAATATTGAATATATACTGGAAGTAATACTTCTAATGGTTTCAGTTTTGAGAAGCTGATAATTCCACAACACATAATCATTCAGGTATTATCTCTAACTGTGATAACAGTCACAACAGTACCTGACAAGTATGAAACCTCTTGTGATATCAGGTGGCTTGCAGACTGACAGTATCATACCACACTGGTAACTGATTATAAAGACTTTATCTGTGCTATTACTGGAAATACAGTCACACCACTGCTGACACGGGTTCTAGCCTTCTCTTCGTTTAAGAACTGAGTGACTTTCATGACCTAGACATCCTTTAAAAGTTGAATAATATTATTTCACTTTGAATTTGTTATTTCAAAAAGGTCCTCTCGCTTCATTCTTTAATTTCATTCATTTCATTAATTTAATTTCATTTCATTCTTTTATTTAATTTAGAGAGCTGAGGGAATGATTGTCATCATGGCTAAATAAAAACAACAATCACTGTTTGTTGCGAATTGATTGCTAACCACCATTTCTGGGATCACAGTCTCAGCCCATCACCCCACTGTTACTGTAACACCACACTACTTCCACCTTTGCTTCTGAAAGACAAAAGTTATTATTCTCTAGTTGTCACGAAAATGTAACAATATGTCCAGTTATGCCTTTCAACCAAAACAGATGCTGCCGTATTCCTGGCAGGGACTGTGTCAGAATTTAGATACGGTTTTGTGAAAGTATACGTCTTTATGTGCAGACAGCATGCGGTGTATGATGTGAGCTGCCTGGGTAATTAGTTCCTGTTTATGTTTGTTGATCTATGGTCTCCAGCAACTTCACCAAGACAAATGCTTGTGCACTGTGTTTTGTGATTTATTGAAGCTGCTCAGAGTGCAGGTTGTGTATCATATCCATAATTTAGAGCAGTTGAGAGAAACACAACAATCTGCAATGCAGCTGGCATCACTCTAAAACAAAGTAAGCTAATTATGGGCCCTATACAGTCTAATGCAGCAGAATGGATCCTTACGCAGGCTTCTTTGCAACATATGCTTAGTAAACATTTTCAGAGCCCTCTCCTCCCTAGCGACTGCGGTCAGGCATTAACGTTAATCTGCCAATACCTGCAAATCCCCCTCTGGCATCCCACACACACATTCACCTTGGCAAGACTGAAAAGGTTATTTTTAAGAGGAGGGCAGCTTCTGGCACAATTCCAGTCGAGCCTTCCATTTTAAATGCCACCCACATTCATGTGAGTCTGGAGAAAGGCCTCGAGCTGTGAGTGGCCGCAGGTGTCTTATGCAATCCTAATGGATGAAAAGATCATTGTTTTCAAGTTGCTCACAGTGGGCACACAGTGGCTGATGCAACAGATCCACTTGTGAAATCACAGTTTTTTAACATTTGAGTCTTGGCTTCAGAGGTGGTGACCACTGCTGTGAGCTGATGGCTGAGAGATACAGAGGGGAACATGAATAATAAGGATAATCACTTTTATTTGGCCAAGTATGTTACACACACAAGGAATTTGTTTCTGGTACAGAACCGAGGCAGCCATCTGCGGCGCCAACTCACACCGATGGCTCTAACCATCAGGAGCAACTTGGGAGTTCAGTGTCTTGATTCGAAGCACCGACCCTCGGATGATTAACATCCACACCCTGATGAAAACCCCATTTTTTCTCTGGTCTTTCTTAAAATACTCAGTTCAACCTGACCTTACCAGAAAAAAAATGGACAGAGTTCAGATGTAAATCATGAAATACTCAGTGAGACTTAAAGCACTGTCAGTGGTGGGAGACAGCAAAATAAGATCACTATATTTTCACTTTAATGTTACTGACAATACAATCAAAGTAGCTGGCTGCTCAGAAAGTTTCTCGAGGCTTTGACTTATGTTCATATTTATATATAGCTCTGTGTTTGCACTGTTTGTTGCTTGTTTATACTGTTTATTTTGTTATACTACACAGCCATATGTTGGTATATTGTTTACTTGCCCCTTAGAAGAGACTTTTATTTTGAAGGGTACAGGTCAACATTTCAGGTGTTCTATTTCCCAATTTTTCTAACATGCTCTATAATATATTATAAATATTACAGATTATATTATACTTATTGCTATGGGAGTAAATATGTTTGGATATAGAATTTGTAATGTATGTAATATTCTGTGGTTTAGCAGGAAGAACAGTCATTTTATTTCAACAACTGGGCATTGTTGTTGTTATGATGACCTTTTCTTGGTATTAATTTTTGTTGTTCTTATTTCTTTCTATAATTACGTATTTTACATGTTAAGTATTTTTACACTGGCATAAAGAGAATGCAGTGGTATTTTTAGGTTTTAGAGATAAAATTTTACTTATTTTCATGCATAATTCTGCAATTAGGGAAGAGGTTTGTCAAGGCCTTATGTAGCATGGCTGCAGAGAGCATTTACTGTGAGAGTATGTCAGTATGAAGGCTTCGTTTCTCTACAAATGCAGGTTTGTGGGTTTATGCCAGGGTATTTTTCACTCGTGACATTTTTCTGACAGAATGTAGTTTTCTTTGTCATTTTATGTGAATTTTATGTCTGTTCATAATACTAGTGTGTGTTTTATGCTCCCTTCCGTCATCTTGTTTTCATTCAGGACTTTCCCAGGAACCCAGATCATTTATGCAAGAGACCCTGGAGCGCTTTGTTTCTCTACAATTGCAGGAAAGCTACGATGCATCTCGGGTGCCTGCAATAAAATGCTAGGCAGAGGGCCAGCATCCTTCTCTCAACTGACAGAAGCAACTACACTGTGTATGAGAAGCTCTGGGATATTAGGACTTTTTGGATTGTAAAATCTATTTGAATCAGTTTAAAAGTTTTTGCTTTTGATAAATTAAACTAGCATGAATCCAAAGTTTAAAAAGGCAGTTTTAGTAAAAGAAATCACCACTGTTTACTCCTCTGGATAAGAACAAGCTGATAGGAAACAACCTTTTTTGAGATAGAATAAATTAAAGTCGGCTCTTTCCTGCCAGACCAGGATTAGCTTTTTATCTTCCTTCCTCTACTTTAAATAGGCTTTGAACAGAGGAAGCTGCTAATATGTAAGTGTCTAGATCAAGCCTTTAAATAGTACCCAAACCCAAAATGGCTGGACCATGATCCTACCTGCTTCTGGGCAAGAACATGGACTCCTTAATGAAGACGGAGCCAGACAACAGGATGTACCAGCAACTTCCAATGTCGTCAGGGCTGGAAGACAGAAAGAGAAAGACAATTAACATCACCAGAGGAAAACAATGAGTGTGATGTTTGGACAGGAAACAGCCAGAATAAAACAAGCACTCCAACATCACATGGCTCTGCAGTTTAAAAGCAATATCGACTCATTCACAGGCATACTGGTCTTTTCAGTCTCGTGTTGCTGCAGGATTCTAAGTTTGTCATGCATGTAACAAAATTATGACACTGGAACAGACTACCACTTCTTAATGTTCACATTTCTGAGCGATCAATGTCAGGTTACAGTTTACTATTGGAAACAAACTGCTCATATATACATGTTCTACACATGTAGGTAAAGCTGTAAGAACAACAAATTAATAAAATAAAAGTTAGAACTGAAATTTTTAGATGCATAACTGTTTAGTTTATTGCCAGAAAACATATCAAAACTGTTGATTAGTTTCCTGACAACAATCTAATTAAGCCATTTCTCTCAGTAATGTTTTTTTCTTTCAGCAAAAATGCCAAAAACTCAGGTGAAGACTTCTCAAATGTGAATAGTTTTTGACATGTTTAGTTCTCTCTGATAGTAAACAGAGGGTTTATAGGTTTTTGTTATGTTGTTCAGACAAAACAGGCAACTGCTATGCATTTTTCAGTTTTCTGACATTTATGGACCAAATAAATCTATTAATCTGACAAATACTCAAATAAATCAATGACAAAAATCCAAATTTGTGGCAGCCTTAGGGCCCTTAATCTTAATATTTCTGCTTTGTCATTTCCTTTATGTGCTGGAGGAGCTGTGACTGAGGGTATCAGCAATGTAAGACTGCTCACTGTGCCAAATACAGACTTAAAAAAATCAAATGAAAAGGAGAGAGTATCAGAAAGATATAGTGTTAGAGAGAGAGTGAGAAGTATGAATGAACCGAGGAATCATCTCTCATCCACCC